GGTGTATAATTTACCTTTTCATCATTACCATATATTCTTTAATATTTTGGACTAAATATTATAAAGTAGTCATCATCACCAAATATTTAAATGGCATACTATATCAGAGAGGTAGTTGGTTTTAACATTTGGACATTTTGATAAGACATAGTCAAAGAAGCAAGTCTTTCCACAATCATATGACACGACCTACAAATATTCTGATTTGATGTTGAACTACTAAAATATAGTTTAAACCTAAAAGTTGTGATTCAATAATAATAATGGAAACTTTATTTTAACTTTAAATTTTTCTTTATTTACAATTGTAAACCTCATTGGTTTCAGGTAGTTTATAATTGTCTACTTGATTCATATGACTTTAACGAAAAAAGATATAAATGACTTTGATAAGACTACAAGAGTAAATGGTTTGAACCCATGTACTACATGTAGTACCAACTACCATCAATGCCTTACACTTGAAAGCTGGTTATACAAACTTAGAACAAAAACCGCTTAACCCAAGTCAACAATTACCAGCACCTTACAAAATACTCATTCATGACCTCACAGAAAAAACTGTGACTCGTGACAACACCAACACATCTACACCACAATACCGACTAATTACTGTTACATTACAACCGAACCAGAAGTATGAATACCATCTACTGTCTCTCATTTTCTCACTGGACTCTGAAGATGACTTCCGCTCAGGTTGTCGAAACGTCAGTCACCACCAACAACAGTTTTTCTTAAGACTTATACTCACCCGGATGATCACACTTTACAACAATAATAACTACAGTTACAGACCTCCTTTAACTGGAGAAAAACAGGTTCAGGCAATATTTTTTCATAATTCAAGGGTAGATCCCAATGCTTGAATACTGTATGATAATTTTAGACTCAAGTGAAAGACTTTCATTATCACACCCAAGTCCTCTCAGAGAATACATGACAGGAGAGAATAAGCTAATAAATCCACTGACTAACATGAGGCCAAGTTAGTGAAGGAGTGTGCTTACAAGCCTACAAAATCCTTTTCTTATGATTTTTTCATTATTAAAGCATGTAGTCTAGCCACTGATGGTTTTTAACCATCCCCAAGAGAATTAAATAACGAAAGACATGGCAGCCATGTTGGAGGATATAACAAAAGAATTCATTGACAATTCTTTTAAGTTCCTCCAACATTGCCGCCGTGAAAACCATCAATATCTAAGGAATATAAGATGTGAGCACATGTCCATACATGTTCTGTGTTATAAACATGCTGGGCGTGCTGTAGAGCATGAGAGAAGCAAGATTAGGAAAACAAGGCATAGCTGAGTTTTCTCTTTCTTTTCGAGTTCTCTACAGCTTCCAGCATGTTTATATCACAGCACTGTTATAAAAGCTTCCATTTTATATTGCTCTTATAAAATATTTTTGAACAATTTTGTGTTAGCGTGTCTCTGTCTTCTGATATAAACATGTTAGGCAACCTTGAATCAGCGCACACATCATAAATCTCAAATATTAATTATTATTATTATTTCTTCAATGTGTTTTATGTTTGCAGAGATATTTAGAAATTGAAGATCAAATTGAAGCGGAAAAGAGAAACACAGAAAATGATATTGAACTTCTGACCCATGATAACAAAGGCCTTGAGAACAGAGTGAAAAGTTACCAAGATCATGGTATGCAATATTCCTTTAATATATTTAGCATAAGGTCACTAGATATAACCAAATAAGCAGATTTTTAGTCAGCATAAATATTGTAATTATTACATACACCTGACTGAGTAAACCCCTCATATCAAGGGAGAGACCTAACAAAGTCTACTAAGGAAATAGTAGTCACAAAGTAAGGGGGGGGTTGGGGTAAAAACAGGGATTGGTCACACTATTTTTGAACTTTTTAAAAGAGGTGGGCTGTTTATAAGACTGTACATTATGGGTAGGTCATTTTTTATTTCCTGTTTGGAAACCTAAGGTGGCCATCATTTTTTCAACCTCGTTTTATACTGGGCCAGCAAAACGAGGAGCTCCTCCAAATCGGATTCTACAACTCTGCCCCACCCCCACCCCCTCCCTCCTTAATTTATGACCATTCCCTTACATGCAGTGCAGAGTTTTGGGAATGATTCTTGATTGCATCATCTGGCATGTGTGCATGTTGTCAGTAGTTTTCAGGCAGAAATCAGTAGGGTGGCAGCAGGTTACCAGTATGTAGTCCGTAGAATATTGGTAGGTTAACAGCATGCTGTTGGCTGGCCAATTTGACACCAATTTGGGGTTGTATTCTTTACTATTGCATATACTTCCTTTAGCACTTTGGATGACTTACCTGAGTCCCATTTGTCCTATTTTTTTCTAAAATTGGTTTGAAGATACATTTATCTCTCCTCCGCATTTATTACCATCCTTTTAATTGGGTTTCATATATTGTAAATATTCCAGTTGAAAGACTTGAAGAAAGAATATCTGATATGAAGCGTCAGTATGATACCCTCCACGCAAGACACACTGAGGTACATTATTTTATAAAGTTCTAAAAATTAAATCATTGAACTCTGTTAACACCAAAGACTCTTATGATCTTAATTTTTGACGTGAATTTATAGCTCAAGGCAGAACAGTTAACTGGAGAACCTATACCTTTAGTGCTGTTTTCAATATTCAAACGTTTCAATGGTTTGTTGTGAAATTGCTTTTTTACTGCTGCCAGTCTTGACCAGTCACATCGATTGGTGGCTTGACATCATGACATATTAGCGGCCATTAGGCAGGAGGAGTGTACAGGGTTTTGTCAAACGCATTAATAATTCATGAGGAAAACACAACAGAAATCACGACTGTGAAGAGTGTCATAAATCTGATACAAAATTGTGCTCATTTGCATAAACTTTGTTGGATTTTTTTGGCCAGATTCACTTTAATTTTGAAAATTTTAGTGAAACACAAAGGAACTAACCTAGACGTTTGACAAGCAATCTACAGTATTCGTCTCCGTGTTGTATCCGATATACCTGATACAACACGGCTACTCATACTGTATATATCACTTAACCACTATGACAACTTTAAGTCTGGTGTATAATCTCCGTAAGGTCCAATAAGGTGTGGTTTAAAAATCCAAATCCACTCCAAATCCACTCTTGATTTAGAAATAATTGTGTTATTAGTTAACCAATATAACAATGCTGTTATTATCAGATGGTCCACCATTATATGGAAAAGATTGAAAAAGCAGAGAGGAAATCTGTATCAGGGGAAACACCACAAAAACCAATCATCAGGTGTGTGTTACTACCTGTGTAAATATGTCCAGAACACCCAAGAATCTTTATGCAGTGCCTAAATATAGAACAGAACACCCAAGAGTCTTTATGCAGTACCTAAATATGTCCAGAACACACAAGAACCTAACAATTTCAGATGGAGTGGGTCATAAAATTGGGCTACCTGTGTCCTAAGTAAAATTCCATAGAAAAAATCACCCATAGGGGGGAGAGAAAGGGATAAAAGGGCTTTCCTACTCCCTAAATCTTCCCTGGATTAACTATGAAAGCACATGTATGGACAACACTGCAACATGTCAATAGTCCCTTTCACAGTTCCCTGTGTCATCTTGAAAGGTAGCCTTGCCTTTGCACCAAAGCGAGATGAAGGGTAAGCTTGCAATGATAGAGACCTTGAACAATTATTCACGTCTCTATCATTGCAAGCTCTCAGTTTGTCTCACTTTGATGCAAAGGCATGACTACCTTTCAAGACGGCGCAGGGAATTATGAAAGGGACTATTCGCAAAGTAAAAAAATGTCAAAATATTCCCTTTTCTGTTTTATAACATAGACCTAGAACATCATCTGGTAATGCTGCCAGGTCTCCATTGGGTCCTTCTGCTGATTCAATGCCAGAATTACTAGATGACACAGCTGGTACTAGCCCACTATCTATACCAAAGAGTCCACATGTTGAGATGATATCATCCTTTGAAAAGTCTGGGGAAAGCAATGATGTATCACTCAGAGATGAGTCTCTTGCTGAAAGCTTAAAAGGTATAAAATCTCTCTAGAATGAAAAAATATCATTGAGAAAATACTACAATTTGAAGCTGTAGTCATGGCTACTGTAGATAGTATTTGTTTATCAAGTATTTTTCCCAAGAAAATGTTTTCTTTTGCTTCAGAGTATAATAATTTAGAAAATCAAATCAAAAGCAACTCCCAAAAAATGGGATGGGATTTGAACCCTTGGGCTCCGCCCTCTAGTCTGAAACTCTAACCATTTAGCTACTGGAGACTGTGTTGGTGAGCAAGGGAACATAGGAACTGTGTCATGCTGTGTCATTAAGCTATTAATGTGTTCTGTATGTTTGTGGAATGTGGATCCTATGTCAATCCCACAGATAACCCTTGCTCATCAGAGTCTGCAGTATCTCAGTGGTTAAGTCATCAGACTAGAGTGAGAGCCATGGTCATAGGTTCAAATCTCATCTGGAGCACAGATCATTTCTGGGGGGGGGATGTTCTCAAAAGAATTGTTGCTTTGTTTTTTTCTTAGTCACTGTTGCTATATCTCAAAAGCTCACAATTTAGCTCAAATATCTTGAGATTTAAAATTTGAATCACAGGAATGTTATCCTTATAATTTATTCTTGTTTTTACTGTCCCATGAAAGTACACTTAAAACATCATAAACAATTTCTGTAGACCTTGTTGTTCCTTTGAAAGTAGTGTATTTGGGAAATTGCTGCTCTTTTCATTGATTGAAAGATCACCCATGATGGAAGGATATTTTTATCATTGTAGGTGATGAATCCATTCAGAATATTTCCAATGGACAAACACCTGAAGCTGCTGGAGCTCAACAACCCAGTGACAAAGCAGATGCTAGTAGTGGCACATGCAGCATCTCCGATGTTGATAACTTACCAATCATGAATGCCGCAGATGCTGCTAACATGCTGACCCCAACCTCCATGCCTAAGCTTAGCAAGGAAGCCATGGAAGTCTTGCAAACAACACCTGAACTTGCCAATAACCCCAGTGAGGTCATACGGCGTGAGAATAAGAAAAGCTCAGCTAACCGCCCAATCTCTCTGGACTTAGAAAACCTACCTGAGGGTGTCACTGCCAGCTCATTGTTTGCTGAGATAGCAAGTCATGAACCAGATGTGATAGGAGAGATGGATACAGGTGCTGATATCACGGCTATGGGCAAAGAATTAGAAAGTGTTATGCATGAAAATAAGGAATTGGTTGCTACCAAGTGAGTATCGTTTCTCTATCTCCAACTTTCCTTTTACAGTGAGTATGTAATGTTCCAATCATAGCGTTTGCAACCGGGGTTCGAGTTCGAGTCCTGTCAGGCTTGTAATCATATGAGGTTCTCTAGCCCCCCCCCCCCCTCCCCTGCAAAAATCAAATTTTAAATTCAAAACTGCCACTGTTACATGTAAATCCTACTTTACAATCGGTACTTTCTTGTTCAGTGTTCTTTTGTTTGCTTGGATTCTCTGCTGATGTTAGTCATCCTGAAAGTTTTCTTATGTTTGTCTTTTTTTTAGAAACAAGTTATCTATGCAGAAAAATGATCTTCTGAAAAGAGTTGAAGAGCTATCAAAGTATGTATATTTATTAATTTGGGAAGCATGGGTGGTGTAGCGGTGAGAGTGCTCACCTCTCACCAATGCGACCCAGGTTCAAGTCCCTACGAGCTCAGTGTTGTACTAGTATGTGAGTTGAGTTGTTTGTTGGTTCTCTCCTGTGCTTCGAGGGTTTTCCGGGTTCTCCGGTTTTCCTCCCTCCACAAAAACCAACTTCTAAATTCCAATTCAATCTTGGGCTTTCACCTAGCATGGATCTGAGGGTTCCGTTCGTGATTGTCCCACTCTGTGATTACAGAGGAAACTGATAGATTAATTTTGTTATTACATTTACACACACACTGTAAGTGTTCTAGCATTTTATCATCTTATTGCTGCATAAAAAGTCTAGTCAACAAGGCATCATACTAGCAAATACTACAAAACTTGAAAAATTGGCTCCAAGGCCATTGCAAAAAAAGGAGATGTGGGGTGAGCACTCTTTAGTAGTAATGTTAGTGTAGCTTTAATGCATCTTTAATATTAACTATTATTAGTGATAAGGAAGTAATCAAAGAAGAGTTGGAATCAATGAAAGACTTGAAGAAGAGAATGCTTTTGAGACTCTCTGAAAGTGAACAAGAATTAAAAAGGTAACGTGTGCAGGCTTATGCGATATCTAGAATTAAGTTATTGCTGCTCTTTTAGTAATTTTGAATTGGTGGCATTGATTTATAATATTATGCATATGACGTATTAAGCGCATAGTTTTTGTATTTTAAAGAATTGAGGCCTAAGCACAAGGCTGCGCATTTTAAGCAGCTTGGTTCAGGTACTGCAGAACCAACAGATTTGGTACCCTCTTGTATATAACATGACAGATCTGCACTCCCCCCTCCTTCTCCTCCCAAAATCACACAGCTTTTGTGGTTCCTGGAATAGTACCAGCATCTGAAATTAAAGTATCTCTTGTTCGTTTTAACCCCAATTGTATACAGGACAAAGCATGAAGCAGAAAAGGCTAGTGTTGCTTTGAAAGAGGTAAAAATAGAGTGTTCTTTTATTTCCTCATTTCATTAGTCATTTGATTGGTATCTGACATTATTATAATCTATTCATCAATATTTCCTTATAAACCATATGGTACATTAGCATATACCAACTTGTGTACAGCTTCCTAAGAATGTGCATGCTCATTGGTTAATTGGAGGTGAATATTGTACGATATTTACCTCTGAATCTCAGAATATTGAGTCAGCAACAAAATGGCATTTGCTAGCAATCGTTTTGCTACGATTCCCGATGAGGAAATTGAGAAAATGAAAGTAAATGCCATTCCTATCAATACTAAAAACGCAACGAAGTATGGCCTAAAAGTTTTGCTAAAAGTTTTGCATGAATTTGTCACGTGAATTAAAAGTTTCTGTTTGTTTGTTTTTATTGAATTATTGTATATGAAAAGAAGTTACTCTGTACACAAGTTGGTATATGCTACATTAATTATTCACCTCAGGCTCAGTGAATATGGAGAATATTTAACTCGCCGCTTGGAGAATCACGTCTTGGCAAATTTGGCGAATAATAATAATTGCTAAATATTATGATTGTAGGCAAGTGTTTCAGCAGCTCACAGAAAGCGATTCACAAGGGTAGAGATGGCTAGAGTATTAATGGAGAGAAACCAATATAAAGAAAGATTAATGGAGCTACAAGAAGCAGTGAGATGGACAGAGATGATCAGGTCAGCCTCTATCTTTATCATACTATAATTCAATAGATTTTTTTTAATGTGTGGCCAATATCAAATCTTATCCACCAAAAATATCCTGTCATCTCATGGCTAAAACTAATGGCTGGTCATTGAACAATGTCATGCTAGAATTGGAATTTTTCTGGTCAAATCTTTGCTAGCTGGTTATCTTACAGGTAACATTGAGTCATAAACGAGAATTTTGATTTGTCATTATTAGGTTTCTCTATATTTTTAATTAATTTGTCTATCTTGTGTTATTTTAATTTTAATTTGTATTAGGTTGTACAGACCTTGAGACTTGTAATGGGCTATACGAGAATTAAAGTTGTTATCATCATCATCATCATCATCATCATCATCCTCAACCTCATCATCATCATCATCATCATTATTATTATTATTATTATTATTATGACCAAGCTAAAACTATTTTGGTTAGTCTGCAACTTTTATTTCAATCCCTGCCATCTGTTTTTATCAGGGGCGTGCGGATCCTGGCACCCCACCCCATTTTGCTCTCAGGTACATGATCCTTATTAAGCCACCCCTTTTCCTCACATTCCTGGTAAAACCTTTATTACAGTCACCCCCCCTTCTATGATTCCTGGATCTGCCACTGTATATATCTCTTTCTTCTTGAGATTCTAAACAAGTACATGTATATTTGTAATGTTCAAAATTTTATTTAATATCATTATCTTCAGAGCTTCAAAGGAAAAGAACCTGGAGATGCAGCAGAAAAGAAAGTCCTCCATCTGGAAGTTGTAAGTGCAATTATCTCATGCGTCTTCATTTACTGAAAGACATGTATTTTATTAAAAACTCCAAACTACATGCCATTGGATTACACAATACAGTATTCTTAGTTTGCAATAGACGTCATAGCTGCCATGTTGGAAGAATTTGACAAAAGATTTTTCAATGAATTCTTTTGTTATATCTTCCAACATGGCAGACATCCCTTTTGTTATTGTGCTCTCTTGGGATTGATTGCAAACCAAGAATAACATGATTTCTTGTTCTTAGTTTCAGCAACCTCTTTGGCCCAACACCAAAGAGACCCCATCCTTCTGCAGTTAGTATTCGATATAACACCCCTGGAGAGGAATCACCTCATATGCAACGTCGCCACAATTCTTTGGGATCACTAAATACTGGCTCATCTAACATGTCTGGTGGTTTTGGCAGTGAAAAGTAAGCTGGTTACATATTATCTTTTGTAACCTTAAAAACTGTCTTATCAAAGGTTTTTATTGCTGATTTAAATATTTAAGCTTTTTAAAAGGTATACTTTTTATTATTCTAGCTTTGACAGGCAAAGAGTGAATGAAAGGAGAGAACGTTATAAACAAGTCCGTGCATATCTCAACACAGGTATATGTATTGCCCATATTCAAATTTTCCTAGCATTAGAGGATTTAGACGAAGAGAAGGGCCAAAACATGTAAATATTAATGCAACCAAAAGCATTCCTTTGATTTTTTCCATAAAAATTTAAAATGTTGTGCAAAATAATATAGCATTTTTTAAAACCGAATTTGCATGTTTTGTTTTTGATTCAGGGATAAAAATAATTTGCCAGTCATTATTTTTATTGAGTTTTTTTTTTGGTTATACCTCGTTTTCTGGCATAACATTACTGGTCAAAATGACCAGCCAGAGAAAGATAAGATTGGAGGAGTTGCAAAAATGACAGACATTATCTTATGACTTGCTGTTATTTTCCTGTGATTGTGTTGTTCTTGTATTCTTACCATTTAATATGGCATTCCTCATGTGGTCATTTAAAACGTTTAAAATGCAACTATTTCAAAAAATGTTGGTGAAGGTTTTGTTGCATGTTGAATGCCAGGCATGTATCGTATTGCACGTTTGATCAAGCATCACTGAATTGCAGTGTCACAACAGTATGAAATTTTTGTTTGCATATTTTCCGGCATAATTTCTTTTGTGTTGATACGTATGAATATAGTACATTTCAAATGTTAGAAAGCAACATGCAAGATTCACTGTCCAACATTAAAAAAAAAACCTTCACCAACCTATTTTGAATGAGCTGTATACTAAGTATTGTTGCCTTCTAATGGTAGATCTGTCAGAGGGAAGGATGCAGGCATATGGATGGAGTTTACCTGCTAAATACTCCACTGAGGTAGCTGAGGGAGGCAAGAGTCTTGTGTCAGTACCTGTGCCAGTATACTGTAGACCGCTGAACCTCAATGATCCAGGGATGAAAGTAAGTATGGTTTTACATGAAAAGAGGCAAATGTTGATGACACCTGGCACATGTCAACGTTTGTGTATTATGTGAAGAGTAGAGCACCCTTCAATGTATAGATTAGAAAATATACTAGACTAATATGTATAAGAGTAAATTAGGGGGTGAGACTTTAGTGGATACGTGTGGGAGCTACAGTGACCCCGACCTTTCCCACTCTTTCCCAGCAGGCTATGCTTTTAAAATTGCTTTCCAAAATTCTCTAAATACATGCGATAGTGTGACAAATGAGTAATCAAATTGAAGTAGCAAAATAATATGGACAAATCCACTGGGGGTGAATGAGCATGCCCATTTGACTCAAAAATATGACAAGAAACAAGTTTTCGATGTCAAATTTTGAAAATGACAATGAATAAAAGAGTCTAAAGTCTAAAAATCTAAAGTCTAAAATCACTCTCACTGAGGCACTTCRTAAACCCTGAGTAAGTTTTGAAAAGCAATGGCAATAGCAACACTTATTTTGATTACCAGATATGGTGTGCTGCTGGAGTAGACCTATCAGGGGGAGTGACCCAAGATGGGGGTGCTGCTGTAGGTGCAAGTGTTTTCTATGCCGAGCCCCCCAAAGAAGGTGATGATCAAGAATCCAAGGAAACCAAGCCATCAATGGTGTGGATTGGTAGCAGTACTCACTCCTGTAGTAAGGTCACTATTATAGATGCTAACTACCCACAGAACATACTGGATTGCTTTGTGGTTTGTACGTCACATTTGCTGTGTATCACCGCAGTGCCTGGTGCCAAACCCAGTGATTATGACTTGCAGGCTTCTAGTGAGAGCAGTATTAACACGGGTAAGTTAGAAGGAAGTACAAAGCATAGTTTTTTGCTGTGATAGTCATAATGTCGTGATGATGATACATGTTGGTGTTAATTGCCCTGTTTCATAATGACGTCACGGTTTGCTTACATCGGCTAAAATGATACAAATTTAGGCTAAATTTAAGCTTAATTCTCTTCTTTTGAGATATTTAGCATAATATTTAGTTGTTCTTGCCTTCACCAGCTCATAAACCAAATTTCATTGTGATTTAAGATGTATTGTTGTCATCCAATCCCCCCTCAGCGACCATGATCCCTAGCTTTAAAACAATAGTTTGTTTTGATGTGACATCATTATGAAATAGGGCAATTGATATAATATTATAAATATTGTTCATGGTATTGATGCAAGTGTTTCTGAATACACCAGATAGCAGAGGAAGTCAGTCAACCATTGGTGCTAGCAAAGAGTCTGTCCTTTCTTCTGATAGTGGAGATTTCTCTGATCCTCTTGGTGAGTTAGTTACCCTACCCTTATATATTTTATTTTGTTCCTTAGACTACAACCATATATTTTAATGTCATATATTAACAATAATATTTTAATGTTAGTGTTATTAAAAGTTATAGAATGATGTATTACTAAATATTTGTTGTTATCAAAGTATTTTAAGTAATTGCTAAAGAAAGTAGCTCATAATTTTAGCAATACTCTTGCGGTGCCCTTGTACTAATGTGTAATACGAAGCATTCTATTATATTAGGTTTTCCATTTATTATATATTATTATTTTGATGAGGTCCTTTTTGAAAATCATGATTATGAAAAAGTTATCTCAATAGAGATTGTTATTATTATTATTATTATTATTATTGTTATTATTATATTCTTTGGTTAATATTAATATTGATAATAATTGTTAGTATAATTTTAGACCTGAATATAGAGTTTCTCAAGCTGTGATTGGTCGAGCGACCGGTGATTCTGAGATGATAATCACTGCTGGAGCGGGGATTATGAGGTTTTCCAGAGTTTTCCAGATCAGAAGTAATACTAAAACGTTTTTTTATCCTGAATTTCGACTTTTCTCTGATATTCAAGTCTAAAATTATACTAAAACAATTATTCCCCTCAGGCTCAGTGATTATGGTGAATATTTACCTCACAGCTTGAAGACTCACTACTTGGTGAATATCCCGCCGATAATCACGTGGCCTTGGTGGAATAATTGTTAAATATAAAATTCTAATAATAATAGTAGTAAAGTACTGATACTTTATCTAATCTTCTGCAACATAATTCAACATAAGGTTCTTTTTGAATGCCGAGATGGCCTTCATAGATTTAAGAGTCGACTTATTATTGATATTTTGACTTATTGATCTTCTGACTAACAGGTGCAAAGATGTCTTCCAAGACAGACATGACAGATGATGCAAGCAGTCAAGTATCAGAAGCACCCACCATAACTGATGTATCAGCTGGTGAAAATGAACACTCTGAACCCAGGCTTGATGATAATGGAGTGGCAAAGATGAGTAGTGTGTTGCCTACCATGTGGTTTGGAGCTCAGTCCGGCAGGTACATAATATACCAATACACTGATTTGTATGATATTGCTAATATACAGACTAGTACTCAGGGCTAACCTCAATTCAACATCAAAATATTCACAAATACCAATGGTAAAGTAAAGAATGCACAACTCGGACAAGAAAGGGAGTGTCAATTGCAAAGGGATGAGTGTCAAAAGTAAAAAGCATGGATGCGACAATGATTGACAATGTAATAGTATGGTTGTTATGGTCTTATCTATTGATAAATGATTTCTATTTTAGTGTCTATGTCCATTCTGCAATCTCTCACTGGAAAACCTGTATTCATTCGATACGACTCAAGGATTCAGTGCTCAGTATCGTGTAAGTATCAAGTATTACAATTGTGAATGAAGGATAAAAACATACTAGTGGACAGATACTTCATCATGATTGTTTTTATTTCATACATAGACATGTCACAGGTCGTGTATTGGTAGCACTAGCAGATGGAACAGTAGCTATATTCCACAGATCCTCAGGTAATAATGATACTAAATACATTCTAGCATATGAGCTATGTCATGCTTAGCCATCTTGGGGTAACGATGTCTTTCTACTTGCTCTGCCCCACGTTTTAGCTTTTTGGAAGTGTTTGTGAGATGTTATTATTTGACATCCATCTTCAAAACCAACCTCCCTGCATCACATATGTAAATATTTGTTGTATATTAATAATATCCTGTTTTACATGGTTTAGGTGGACAATGGAACTTCAATAATTATCACCTACTTGACCTCGGCCGTCCCCATCATTCTATTCGCTGCATGACTATGGTTCATGAAAAAGTGTGGTGTGGGTACAGGAACAAGATACAGGTCATCCACCCTAGGACCATGAGAGTTGAGGTAAGGATAATGGGGTACCAGCTATAGTAAGATGTGGTGTGGGTACAAGACCATGAGAGTTGAGGTAACGATAATGGGGTACCGGCTAGAGTAAGGTGTGGTGTGGGTACAAGGTAAGAACAGTGAGCTACCTCGTACAAAAGTAAGGTGTATCGAGCGTGTACAAGCAAGTAATCTCTCATCCACTTTAATCTCTGTTACCAGAAAACCTTTGATGCCCATCCTCGTCGTGAGAGTCAAGTTCGTCAGTTAGCATGGATTGGTGATGGTGTGTGGGTATCCATTAGACTGGACAGTACCTTACGGCTGTACAACGCCCATACGTATCATCATCTGCAAGACATTGATATCGAACCTTACGTCAGTAAAATGCTAGGTAAGAGGGTTTTATGTGGAACGATAATTTCTATATTTATTTGGGATTATTAATTTATAAGGATATTTAGGTTTTATTTGGTTTGACGGTTTTTCCCGTTTTGTTCTGAACAGGTACGAGTAAACTAGGATTCTCTTTCGTACGAATAACATCCTTGCTTCTGACCAACGATCGTCTGTGGGTGGGAACCGGAAACGGCGTCATCTTATCTGTTCCACTCGTAGCTGCACGACCTGCAAGGGATGATGGAGATCAAGCTGCTATTGTGAGTCCTGGTTCGGGTGGACCAGGAGGACCTGTCAGAGTTTATAGTAACGAGGGTGTTGATGGGGAACGAACACCATCAGGAACTGGTAGCTTCATGCCTTATTGCTCTATGGTAGGTATATATGTATGACGCTCTTGATTTGCTGAAAAATGATTTGCTGCTCGTGCTGTTGCAGTTGTTGCTGCTTTCGTTGGCGTTGCTGCTACTGCTGCGGTTGCTGTTGCTCTCGTTACTGTTGCATTTATTAGTGCTGTTACTGCTGGTTTTGAACTGATTACTTGATAAGGCAGCCTAAAAATAGGGAGACAAATGACCAGCAGTTGAAAAGATTCACCCCTTTAATGTTGGCAGATATAGTTATATGCATTTTATCATATTGTTTTCCAGGTTAATGCCCAGCTCTCCTTCCATGGACACCGTGACTCGGTCAAGTTCTTTGTTGCGGTCCAAGGTTCCATGAAGCGCGCGTCAGTGAGCTCTTCTGTTTCCACCCAAACCCAAACCGGAAGTAAACCAGGCAGTCCCGCTCAGTCCCAGACCCCAAGCCCCGAGAAAAAGATGATCGAAATGACGTTGGTTCTAAGTGGAGGGGAAGGTTACGTAGACTTCCGGTTAGGCGACGGAGAGGAAGCTGCTATGGAAGACCAAGCAGGAGATTTGATATCAGTGACAATCAAAGGGCATTCGACCAATGAGCGTAGTCATATCATGGTCTGGCAAGTTGCATAATAAGGGAACAATCCGTGAACTTCATTGGTGGATCCCAGGCAAAGTATTGAACATCAAATGTGTTTAATCCTGACAGGACGCGCCAGAGAAAAAGGGTGGTGGTATAGCTTCAAAAAAAATTAATTAAATTATAATGAAAATGTGTGAAAAATATTGTTAGGATGCCAACAAATAAATCCCAAAAGTGCTTGATTTAAATAGTGCATGTTCACTAAATCTAGATCACTAGATCGTTTAGCTGTGAAGCCGTCCTTTTTTGGGTGCTGTCCAAGTGACCTTTATTTTCATCAATATATTGAAAGACTTTATTTATGTATGTAGGAGATAGCAAGAATAATAATCATATTGCTTAATTCCTTCATATACTAAAGTTCAACCACCAGGAACTGATATTTACGTACGATATAGGTTGTCTTCTCCCACCCTCTCTTATCGCGGTTGGAGGCTACAGACAGTTTACTTAAAAGTTTTTTTATTAGAATTTTTTTTACAGAATAAATTACTCATCTTGCCAATTCTGAATATGTTTGCTTTGAGCGATTATGCGTAAAATCAGAATAAATAATTTCTATGCTGATAGATTTGACCATAGTAAGACTAACCCATGGACGAGTATCACGAGTATTGCTTATGGACAGAGATGTCTTTTCTATACTAATTGTACTAATATTAGTAGAAGTATAATCAATAATACTGATCCTTTAGAGTGGTTTAATGCAATTTTGATCATTTTATTCCCGAAAGCAAAAACAATTTATAATTTATGCGGTAATTTTCAACTTTGTTTTTCTTTTTTCGCTGGCCTGGTTATATGGCCACCAAGGGTATAATTCAAAGGATTATTAAGTTCATTTTACTTCCATAACCATTTAATTACTCTCCCTATAATATTTACGGGGAAAATTCGATAGTTCATTTCAGTCCCTTGTAAATAGGAAAAAAATACGAGAAAAAAATATTTTTGCTTGCCAAATATCCTTGTTTTAAAGGTTTTGCGTCGCTTTAAAAATGCTTGTTTTAAAAGGAGTAATTTAAGAAATATTCACTTTCTTTAAGAGATTTTTTTTTGGACAATACTATACAGGGATTGTCCGTTTTCTCAAGGTTGCGTGAGCATCCAAATTTAAGGAACTTGACGTGCCACGATACCAGAACACGAGTAATATCATGCATTGCTATGAAATTTTTTACGATAAGAATTCATAAAATATATTATTCTCCTCTTTAAATTTATAACTGTCTTCTCAATTTTACTGAATTTGCGTTTTTCAGTTTTGTGGCCCATCAAGTTGGATGCGCACGCTACTTTGAGAAAACGTTCTAACGAGAGCTCTTTCTTTGCCCTCGTCATTTTGTCCTTTTCCTTTTTTCTCTTAATTTTAAACATTCTTGACTATTCTAGACATCCTTGTTCGAAAATATGAATAATATATAAAGTATTAGAATAATTGTAAAAATGCAAGCAAAACAGGTTAGTTTCAGGGTAGTTTAGCCTCGATCGAAAAATCCGGATGTGACGCAGGCTAGGGTAGTTTTACTTGGCTAAACACAAGGAGAACGTTCTGTGATCTTTTTTTGGATGTGATTAATTTATTAAATTATAGTTCTAGTCGTATGGGTGTTGGAAGTAATTTTAAACACATCTACAAAAATGAGGTTAAAACTAATGATAAAAAATATATAAAAACTGCAAATAAGATATCGATTAGGAAATCGATATACTACTGAAAAAGATGGTTGGTGTGCTGTATTAATACAATGTACATCACTGTACAGTTACACTGATTCGTACTGTTGGTATACAGCTTTATACTGTAATTATAATTAACCCATATGTGTTACGAAAATAGTGGAAAACCTTTTTAGTGTATCGCATGTGATCTTGCATGTGCACAAAGCCAAGGGAAGCCATTTCAGTGCTGTAGCATGTTATACTATATTTGTCTTGCTTCAGTTACAAGGGGGATTCATCTTAATGGCATAGCATTGTATTGTTTTTTAGTGTTTACATAGCTAAGGGAAGCCATTTCAGTGCTGTTACATGTTGTAATGGATCTGTTTTGTGCACATAGGAAGCCATTTCAGTGCTAATGCATATTGTAATAATGTATGTCAGTCTTGTGAGAAAGGGAGGCCAACTCTGTGTCACAGTTGCTGTATACCAATAACCAAAGAATATACTTACGACTAAAAAACCTTCGTTTTACTAATATGGTCTTCTTTCTCTTTCCATCCAATCTTTTTCAGTACAATCGCTTCAGATACGATACTAAATTAGCAAAGAATAGAATATCAAAAAATGTGTCCTCGGTATTTAAATTATTTTTCCTAAGGTCTCCCAAGACCGCCGGCCATTTCTATGGACATTAATCAAATGTATTTTTAATTTAAAAAACTAGAATTTAATTATCAATTGTAAGCAAATATGTGGTGAGTCCTCTTATTTTTGCCGATATCGTTGGGCACCTTTCTGTTCAAAAAAGTAAATAAAAACCCAGTTGCATCAGCCTTCACTCGTCGTTTTGATGACCAAACTCTAGTGGGTTTACGTCTCAAAATTAAAAGAAAGTGTTGGTTTGCATCATTTTGGTTGACTCGCATATCATGTAAACTTTGTTAAATTGTGATCACTTGATCACTCCCTTACCTTATATTGGATTGCAAATACATAGTTATTCTCGTTCACACTCTAGTTCGTGACCAATAGACCTCTTTAGCTTGGGCGTTTGTTTTGCCCATTTCAGACCACGTGTCAAAGTCTTCTTTGTTTTATTTGCATCCGGATCCAAACAAAGAAATGATACTCAAGAGAATGGAACATGTTTTTAAATGGGCAAAACATTACGCCCAATCTAAATTAAGAGGTCTATATCCCAAGCCACACAGTAGTCTAGTGAGTGAAATAGTGCATGTGAGATTGTCGTGTCTTTATTCATAGTGTATGAATAAAACGTCTACTCCAGTATAACTTGCAGGTCTAAATAGTTCTTCAGTTCTGTAAATGTCAAAGTATCAATGAAATAAATCAGTGACAAACTAAAAAGTGACAACCAATAGTCTCGTATCTTTCCCTCTATCACACACGCACTAGCCCACAGTACGGCACCTATAGCTAACTACAGGAATATGGTTCAAGAGAAGTTACAAACCCAACAGCCCAACAAACCCAACAAACCCAACAGCCCAACAGCCCAACAGCCCAACAGCCCAACAGCCCAACAGCCCAA